CCCGTGTCCCCTGCATCGGCAGGCGGACTCTCAACCACTGCGCCACCGGGGAAGCCCTATACTCATTTTTTTTGCAGTTTCCCATTTCCTCATCTCTTCTGAGGAGCCCTATGTCTGTCTTTCCGTGTCCCGGGTTCTGAGGGGTCCCGCACTCTCTCACCTCATGGTCTGTGGGCACTATCCTGTGAAAGCAATGCTCCCGGTCTCCTGCCTTCCCCCTCATTCCTGGTGTTGGCTGACCTTGCCAAGTGGGGACATCCCTGGGCTGGCACAGCTGAGTTTGGCCTGGTTACCCCGACTCCCCTTCGTGTCTTGGTCACAGCACAGACATCAAAGACCATCCCTCCACGTATCAGGCACACCTGAAATTTCCTGGGATTGGCTGAGGGGCGGATCTGCAAAGCCCAGCTTCCCCTTGGCAGCTCCATTTATCACTGTCTGAGAGATATGAGCATGGCTCCTTGTCACACACCTTATGCAGGGTGAGAGGGATAGAGGTTTGTTTGTACAAGAGCTGCCAGGCAGCTGACTGACCTCAGTAAAAAGGGAGATAATTACACAGCTGTTCAAGAACAAAAGCGAACAAGGGAACATAAGTGAACTGTGCTCAACAGTACAATTTTTCTATTTGGGGGATGACTGGTGTTACTTTGAACTGCTACCCTTGGTTACTAAGGACCTCGACGTGTCTCGTGTCCTACACAACCTCTCCTATAGATATGGTGGAGGATGCTTAATACATTTCCAAAATTCTGATCCTATTGGAAACATTCTAGAAGGGTAACTGTGGGCCTTGAGCCTTAGATGACAGCCTCACGTCTCCTATAATAGAAGGGTGAGACGTGCTGGATAGGCCCCCACGGGAGGCATCCAGGGACTCCTGGGGAAGTCCTCAGGCCTTTCCCGAGATAACACGAAATCAGGCATGGGCATCTCGACAAACAAAACACACTGAAACTGAGAGAGTAGCCCGCATGGAAGCCTTTCTCTCAAAGCTGGAGGAATTATATATGTCAAGGGTTGTCAAAGACGCCTAAGGCAAAGCTTTCATTGTGTTAGGCCTTTAACTCAAACATTTCCTGAGCGGTGTTCAAAGCCGCTGGGAATTTTCTCAAGTTTGCACCCTTTCTGTGACCCCGAGTTCAGGTATCCAGGTAGTTCTGTGGGCCCTATTATTCTGCTATTGTTCCTGTTCCATTGTTCGTGACCAATTCTGTAAGAATTCTTCTCAATCCCTCCTTCTGACACTTTCCCCCAAGAAGCAAAGTTCTCTGAATTATTTTCTTTCTTCTTCATGCTGGAAAAATCAGAATTTACGAAGCACGTGAGCCAGCCCCCTTCCACCCTCGCCCCCCATGCTGATTCCACAGACCCCTGTACCAGAAGCCACAAGAAAAGAGCCAGACTTGAACTGAAGAACGGTCTCTGGCAATTGGGTCTTCAAATGGATGGCTGAAGCCTGTCTTTTCAGAACAAACTAATTCATTCTGAGAAAAAGCCTAACTAACGGAAAGGTCTACATTCTGCAGGTTCTTCTGTGATCTCAGGAAATGCTGGCTTGTGAATTTCTTGATGAAGGACATGAACTGAGACTCCCTCACAGACACCGGGCACTGAATAAGCGTTTGCCAAACGAAAGGATCACACCATGGGCGTGGGTTACCTGCTCCGCCAGAATCTGCTGCTGCTGCTGCCTCTGCTCCCGCAGGAACTGTTGCTTCTGCTGCCCCATCAGCTGGGCCCGCTGATCAATGAGCATCTGCTTCATGAGGGCTGCCTGGGGCTGGCTGCCCAGGAAGCTGGGCCCCGCTGGACCGGCTCCGGAGACCATGCCGCCTGAGCCCGGGGGCACGGACGACTGCATGGGGCCCGTGGTCCGGGGAAGCCCGACCGGATGCTGCTCCTGGAAGGACAGGAAGAGAAGAGAATGCAGCCACTCCACATCTGAAGGAAAGCACAGGGGTTAGGGGGATGGGGTAGGGCCCGGCTTAGGGACCTACGGGATCCCGAGTGGCACACATTACATTTCCATATAAAGAACCCAGTGGCCCTCAAACCTGGCCTTACCACAGGCGGGACTGGAGAGGCTACAGGGCGACAGTAATAGAGCACGGCTCTGGGAAAATCTGAGACCAGGTCCAGTCTGTTTCTGATGGGACTGGCTAAGGAACAAGAACCGCATTTTCAGCTAACAATCTGTGCTCCTCCAAAGGAAAGGGAATACGCCCTCAGGTGGGGCTCATTTTAAGTCTGGAATGAGGCCTCCTCACCTCACCTCTTCATCCTTACTGCCTGCCTGGCTAAAATGCGCTTCTTAGCTAGTAGGAGAGATATTTACAGAAGACTGCTGGAATTGATTCATCAGCAGATTGCTATTTGATGAAATTCTAATTAATTGTGACATTTGAAAGCTTTGACATGTGTAAAAAAAAAAAAAAAAAATCCTGCTAGTGAGAATTGTTGATGGTGAGAATTAGGAGTGTGTTACCCTGACCAAAGATACGAAATCTCCCAACGTCTTTAAAGATAGAATTGGGTCTCAGGTGTCTGGGATAACTTAAACGTGGGGAGTTGAACTGGGTCTCTTGATTCTATAATTATGTGTCCGTCAGTCAGATCAAATGATGGCAACTTTTAAGGACTGGTCCTTAAGGAACAGGAGGTAAAGTGTTAGAGAACTCCTCACACACAGCCCAAGCCACTACTCGGAGACTGTACTCAGAGGGGAAGTAACAGCCCGACGGTGTAGACCACTGGGGAAAAACGGCTGATAGGAAAAGTAGGTGTTTCTCGATGCTTTCTTTCCTGTTCATTCTATCAAGCACAGCTGGTAATGGCATTGTCTGAACATTTCACAGAAAGGTTTCTTTTAATTCACTGAAGTTTCAAGTGATTCATCCGAACAAAGAGAAGCTGCTGTCTGAGAGGTACACAAGTTAAATGGGTATACGTGTAAGGACATACCCAGTCATATCATGAGGCACAATTATGAGACTTAGATCATGAGAAACCAGTGTGAATAACTCTAGAGTATTTAAATTTTTGTATCCAGTTAAACTGGATTTTTAAAAAATTTCCTCATTGTAAAATCTAGATAGTCATTCTTTTTTTCCACACTGGTTATTATTTCCAGTTATACGGGGTGAAGAAAATTAAGACTACACCGATGTATACAGGCAAGTGACTACCTTAAATGGATGTGTAGTAGTTATCAAATTTTATTTGCAGTGGTATTTCCATCATTATTAATGCATGCCTTCATTAATGCATGCAACTCGCCTGCTCTGTGAACAACATGGATTTTATCCACCTCTTCTGAGCCATCCTATATGAAAAACAGGGTGCAGTCAAACTGGATTTTAATATTTGTCCTCTTTTTGCTTTGCTACCTCTTCAGTGTTGGTAAAATCACGTGGGCAGTTTCCTCTCAAAACAGAGAGTTGTGTTTGACACAACTCCTAGAGACGCAGCCCTGCATTGGAGCCCCCGTAGCCTGGGCTTGTTGGACCCCCTTCCCGCTACTGTGTGGAGCTCAGCCATTCGCGTCCTTCTTTCCAGGTACACCGAAACCGCATCTTCAGGTACTCTTCGTCCCTCCCATCAGCACCCAAACAAAACAAAACAAGCAAAACAAACAAAAAACCAAACAAAACCCCGTTACTCCTCTCATCTGGGAAACAATAGCTCAAGAAGTTTTGGTTAATCAGTGCGGTGGCCCAGGTCACACAGTTAGTAAATGGAAGAACCAGAGCTTGCAGAACTGGAACACTGATTTTGAGTCTAAATTCAGTATTCCTTCCACAAGCATAGGCCTCTCCCAGACGACGGGTCCATGGTGCCAAGCGTGTGCCTAAGAATTGCCTGTAGACTAAATATATAGTATGTCTCCCATAAATACACTGTGTTCTATTTTTCAAGTGTTAAGTGTGGTGTTACTGAAATTAAAACTTCTTGCCTTTGTGTATTTTCTCTGTACATAGACGATTATTAAGTAGAGAGCTATGAGATATTAATGTTAATAAAAAGACCTTATACTCAGCAATGCCTGGAACTTTATGCCACCAAAAAGTTTACTTTATGACTGACCCCTGCAGAGGTCAAGATATTTCTTTCCTTTGCCCCCCAAACTTGCTACCTGTTTTCCAAACCCTTCCTTCCAATGGGATGAAGCTGTTTCTTGCCAACTTTGGAGACAAATGGCTGACTGACTTAATACTTTAACAAACACGGAAGTGCAGATAGTTGACCAATCAGCGAAAATACAGATATACAGTTTTTTCTGTGTATTTCAGAATATTTGATATTTTCCAATTTTGATAATGAGGAGGGAGTTGGAAAGAAAATGAGACCCAAGGGAAGATCGAGTTCTCTTTGGCTTGGTTTTATGAGAGGACTGGTCTGGGCTGGCCCTGTTTACCTTTGTACACTTCGAGATATTCTTGTCCTGTGAGACTAGCCCTCCAGTACCTGGTGAGCTTGCCCAGGAGCCGTAAGTAGTGATGTGTTGCTCTCCCAGCCTTCTCTCCACCCAGAAAGAAAGGGAGAGGCGAAGGAGGTGAGGATGTAGATTCATCTAAGCATATCTAGTCCCTGTCTTCCTAGACCAAAAAGAAATACAAGTCCGCCACTTTTCAAGAGTTCAATTTACGCCACTCCCCTTTTACGAAACACCTACACTTGTATCTGTTTTTGCTAACTGGAAGGAATCTGAAGAGGGTTTTCGCTTTTACAAAAGCGAAAATCTAAGATAGCATTCAGTGTTTGTTTTGCAGAGTGATTGTAGAGACGGCAGGCGCCTCCAGCAACAAGAGTGGCAACACCAAGCTCCTTCCCCAGGAACTACACTCAGCATCTCAGCATCAAGCTGCCACAGCTTTGAACTGTGTGAGCATCTGTGCTCTATCTCTATTTATTTCGCACATTCTTAGCAAGATGTGTCCTAAGGTGCTGGCTTCTTCACTGTAAGCCATTTCGGCTTAGGAAAGGTTTCATAGGAAATGCTCTCCTTTCAGATGGGGCGGCGTGTTGCTGAACTTCTAAAGCACAGTGCGTAAAACCCTCCCCAAAGGGATAGTCTGGTTATTACCTCCCAGGATTATAGATTTCCCTCAATGGTTCCCTCTCAAAGATTTTGCCTTCTGGTTTCTCACCGAAGACCTGAAGACCGAGAGGCAGGAGGGCTATGTGCACTTTTAAAGGACTGCCCTCCCTATGAAACATTTGTGAGCCTAGGTTGATACACTC